CACTGGCACACGTGAGAGGTGCACCCCTTGACTGTCGCCACTCCGTCACGCTACAGGGGTCACCTCTCGACCTGCAGTTTTTTCCACAAACTCCTTCACGCCAGGACACCCCTCGCGCTCGAATTCGAGCAGATCGGTCACACTGAGCCTGACCGATGGCACCTTCTGCGGCGCTCTCAGTCCAGCAGCTCTGTCAGCCCGCCCGACATTCTGCTGCGCGCCTGCGAGCGCACCGTACTTGCTCGCACGGGGACTCCGTTGACATCCAACATGACGGTTGACCAGCCACACCGTCGAAGCTCGGGGACACCATGGTGTCCCGAGCCGTCGGTGAACGCGCAGTCCTTCCAATTCTCAGCTGGCGATTCCCAGTCGCCCCCAACGTAGCGTGGCGGCTCGCGAGGCGGCGGTGGCGCGTCGATCTTGGACCACCTCGGAATCCCAGCCGCAAACGCAAGATAATCATACTCCTGTTGGCCTTCTCCGATCGGCCCGTGCTCCAACATAACGTCGCGAGCTGCAGCCAGCTTCGGATCCAGACTCCAGTCCTTCTCATCATCAAGCAAGCGCTGAGTGAGGGCAGGGCGCTCGAGGAAAGCATGGCCGAGCGTCTCAGAAGCATGCGGGCAAGCTCTACACCTGTGATCACCGTGCAGACCGTGCTGAAGCAGCTTAGCCTTGGGCCACAAGGAGTCTGACCACAGGCTACGGAGTGCTCCCACCCGTCCCGCCCACGTCACAGTAGTCGCCCTTACTTCAGCTGCAGGCGGCAGCTTCGTGAACCTGTGCGCATCGCGAGCCTCTCCGTCGAGACTCTTGGCGGCCCAGCTGCGCCACTGCTTCTCACGCTCCTTGCTGTGGCGCTCGGTGGGTCTCTCGGCCTCGTCGGCGAACCTCTGGACCGTGACGTCCCACTGGGCCTTGGCCATCTGCCCCAGCCCGCTTTCGAGCCACGACGCCGTGTCCTCAGTCAACTGACTCTTGCCGCGGCCTGCCTTCGCAATGTTGGCATAGCAGCGTTTGGTCTAAAGGATCATCTCCACCGTCGTCTCGATGCCGTCCACCGAGTCGCCTCTGACTTGTCGCTGTTCTGCCCCGCTGAAATGGGGTCAACCGAAACCAGCTTCATGAGGCGGCTGCGGCTGGCATCCAGGTGGCTCGCCCATAGTGCCACCGCCGCGTAAGCGCTCACCTTCGGGTCGTGGAGCGTCCTCCTGCGAGGTGGCTTCCACTTCGGTTTGCTCAGCTTGAACAACGGCTCCCAGCCTCGCACGACGTGCTGTCGCCTCTCCGCTCTAACAATACAAGCCATCTATCGCATAGCTCGGCCTCGGCAGCGCTGACTGCCGCATCCCAAGCCTTCTCCAAACCCTCGGAGTCCGTGGCGTTGAGGGTCATCTGAAGCGCCTTCTCCCACGCCCTCTCCAATGGGAAGGGTGCCGCTCCCACTGGCGGTGTCGCGGCAACCCCTTTCGGCTTGACAGCGACTCTCATGTGGGCCTCGCGGTCCTCCTCCTGGATCGGCACGTGCATGGGGCAATGCGGTTACGTCGCTGCGTCCGTCGTGATCTGCGCGCCGCCGATCCTGGGGTCCAGGTTCGGCGACGCGATGACGTAGTCCAGGCAGGAGCCCTCGGCCGCCTGCCAGCAGGTGGGCTCGCTCAGCACGATGGGGATGCCCCCGACCTCCTCGGGCCACGGCCCCTGCAACACGTCGATCTCCATGTTCCAGTCGCCCGTGGCGACCCAGCTCAGCCCGCGGGCGTTGAGCACGCGGAGGCAGGTCGTCAGCTCATGGACCGTGTCAGAGTTGTCGCCGTCCATGCCCGCGGTGTGCTTCAGGTACGCGACAACGGCGACCGGGCCACCCTTCACGCCCCAGTGCACATGGCCCGCCATCAGCCTAGCCTCCACCAGGATCTGGGAGGGCGCGAAGGGCGGAGCGGTGACCGAGATCACGTTGCGAGTGAGCAGCGCGACCCCGCCAGACGTCTCGAGCGCGCCGGCGCCCGTGGCCTGCGCAGGCGCCCACAGACCATGGAAGCCCAGGTCGCGCACCTGACCCTGCAGCGAGCTCAACTTGTCACCCATGGCCCTGTGCTCCCGGACCGCAAACACGTCGCCGTCTGGAGCATCCGCGAGGTATTGCGTCAACCCCCGCGCACACGATACATTGGTCGTGGTCAGAACACCCTTGGCAGTGCCCAACCTGCCCATCTGTCGACCTGATGTTGTAGCAGCCATCATCTTGCCAAACCAACAGTATAAGCCTCACTCTGAGCCATCCTCTAGTAGGCCTTGTAGGCCCACTTGCTCGAGGCGGCCGCCAACCCGTGGGCTGCGACTCTGACCTCGCTCTCATCCGCGGGCACCTCCACCCCATCTTCGGCCAGGCTGGCTCGCAGCTCCTCGATGTGCGCATCGTTGGTGGAGGACTTGAAGCGCTTGACGTCGGGCGGGCCGCTCTGTCCAGCACCCTCAGCACCTCCGCCTTCCACCGACGCAGCAAGCCGCGCGCGCCCAGCAGTAGGAGGCAAGTGCAGGACTCTCTCTGCGAGCTTCGGCTGGGACATGACCTTCTCTGCCATCTCACCCGACGCGCCCAGCTCCTTGAGCAGCGCGCCGAGGCCCTCCAGATTGAGGTCAGGCCCCTTCTCAACAGGCGTGTCCTTCGTCTCGGGCGGCTCTGGGACAACGTCGTTGCGCTCACGCACCTTCAGGTCCAGCTCGACGGCTTCGGCGCGCGGCAACTTGGCCTGCTCGCGCTGCTCCTCCAGCGCCTCCTGGGCCTTCTTGACCGCGTCCTCAGCCTTGGCCACCGCATTGCCTTGTTTGCCAATGGCCTTGTTCTTGGACTGCAGCTTCCTCTGGAGTAGGAGGAGCTGCGTGACAAGCGGCTTCTTGGAACGGATCTCTTCCACCAACTTGCGCTTCTGCTCCTCCAGGGTCTCAATTCCGTCCTTGACAATCTGCGAGGGTGTTTTGATTGCACGTATACTTCGCAGCTGCTCATCAAGGTACTCCAACTCCTTCCTCTGTGCTTCATCGCCATCTTCGGTCACCTCCTCCGCAGCCTTCGCAGCCGCTGTTGGGGTCCCCTTGGTACTCGAAGTCGCCCGCAGCGTCTTGAGCTTTTCACCTAGCTTAGCCAACTCGTTCTGCTTGGTGAGGTGCTTTGCGGCGTTCTTTGGCAAGTGAGACGTAGCGCGGCGTGCACCAGCAGCTCCTGGGCCACCAGGCGGACGGCGTCGCACTCTTTCGTCCCCACGAGCATGGCCGAGGGGCATGCCAACCTGGGGTCCTTGGTCGTACTTGCAGATCTTGCAGTACCAGTCTGACTTCTCCGACGTACCCCCACAAGATCCAGGCGCCATGGTTCCTTCCCTACACACGGGTGCAGCGAGGACAGCCACAAGGCCAGACAAACACGCGCGGATGGGCGGACATCGCCAGGCTGAACAGCCTTGCCTTGCACGGGAAACAGAGCAATCCCGTTCAGGTACGGGGGCGCGGAAGCCCTCAGGTGCAAGCATCTTGAGCCCAAGTGGCTACGTAAGATGAGGAGGAGGAGGAGGATGAAGTAGTGGAGACGAGGAGGATCATGATTATAATGATGATGCTGACGATGAAGATGAAGATGAAGATGATGATGATGATGATGATGATGATGATGATGATGATGATGATGATGATGATGATGATGATGATGATGATGACGATGATGATGATGATGATGATGATGATGATGATGATTGATGATGATGATGGGGATGATGCTGATGATGATAGTGATGATGATGCTGATGCTGCTGATGATGATACTGATTATGATGATGATGGCGACGACGACGATGATGATGAATCTGTTGATGATGAGGATGATAATGATGATGTTGATGATGACGATGGCGATGATGATGGTGATGATGAATGTGATAATGCTGATGACGGTTGTGGTGATGATGCTGCTGATGATGATGACGGTGGTAATGATGATGGTAGTGGTGCTGATGTTGGTGATGATGATGATGATGATGATGATGACGAGGCTGGTGACATTTGTGGTGGTGATGCTGATGATGCTGATGCTGTTGATGTTGATGGTGATGCTGATGATGATGCTGATGGTGATGGTGCTGGTGATGGTAATGGCGATGGTGGTGGTAGTGGTGATAAGGATGAGGATGAGGATGAGGATGACGTGGAGGACGACGACGAGGGGAAATACGGCGAGGAACAGAAGGAAGAGGAGCAGGAGGAGGAGGATGAGGAGGATGATGCTAATAATACTAAGTGTGATGCTCATCATGCTGGTACTAATGCTGGTAATCATGATGCTGCTGGTGATGATGATGATGATGATGATGATGATGATGATGATGAATATTGCGATGACGATGACGATGATGATGCTGATGATGGTGATGCTGCTGCTGATGATGATGATGATGATAATGATGATGATGATGAGGATGATGATGCTGGTGTTGATGCTGCTGCTGATGATGCTAATCATGCTGATGATGATGAGGATGCTGATGCTGATCATGACGATGATGCTGCTGCTGCTGATGATGATGATGAAGCATCTGCTTATGATGCTGACGATGCTGATGATGCTGTTGATGATGATGACGATGATGATGCTGCTGCTGATGATGATGATGATGCTGATGATGATGATGATGATGATGATGATGATGATGATGATGATGATGATGATGATGATGATGCTGCCGATGATGATGAGGAGGAGCAGGAGGAGGAGGAGGAGGAGGAGGAGGAGGAAGAGCAGGACCAGGAGCAGGAACAGGTGGAGAAGCGGACATATTATGAACAGGAGGATGAAGAGGATGAGGAGGTGAATGGTGAAGGAAGAATAGGAGATTTGCTCTGTGCTCCTGTATCTCGTCCTTTTCCTGATCTCCACCCCCCCGACGGCGACGATGACAGTGTTGACGACGCCGACGTCGGCGGCGACGACGACCGCCCTCTGCGAGATTCGTGAGCGCTCCGAATACCGAGATAGAGCAGGCGTGCCCGAACACCAAGTGGTACAAGCCTGGCGCCCAGCCCGCTTGTCGTCGTCAGCGCCGTGTGACTCGAAGGGACTTCCCGTGACGGTAGATTTCAAATGTTTGTATAGGAGTTTTCAACGCAGATGACAGGGGCCTGGGGACACTCAAATTCGTGCATCGAGGCACGGTGGTGGATATTCAAGAGCAGCCAGTTCATGTGCACGCTTTCGGTTGCCGTTTTTCATTCCTCTCGCTTCGCGGGGTACACGTCCGGACTGCGCAGAGCACGGGCGTTTGTGACTTCCTTGGAGTTTTTTGGACGCTTCTTGGGGGACCTCTTGGGGGCCATTTGGAGGCGCTCTGTTGATTCCCTGGCGGTACGGGCGCTGCCAGGGGGAGGGGGGGAGGGGGCCAGTCACGTCACGAGTCGCATCCGCGGAGAGTGGACAGGGGCCCGCTAACGTTTGGGCTGGGAGCGGCTTGTCTTGGGGTCATTTAGGGCCGCATCGAGGCCATATCGGGCCGTCTTGCAGCAATCTTAGCCGTCGTGAGGCCCTCTTGGAGCCCGAGAGGCCGATCTCTTCGATTTTCTATACATTCCGTCCGCCTCTGCCTCCGCGGCCGCCTCCTTGTCCGTTCCTCGTCTACGGCACGCTCTGGCGAACATGTTGCTTCCACGCCCCAGTTTCCCTGTTCACGCGTTTGAGCTTTGTGACGCCGCCGACAAGAAGTCAGCACAAGGCAACGCCAAATTCCGATGACCATTCCAACAACGCGCCAGTAGTATTCAATTGCGCGGGCCTCTTGGTGGTTTCTTGGGGCCGTTAGCGCTTATGGGGGGCCTTTTGGAGGCCCCTTGGGGGTCCCTGGGGTCCTCTTTGGGGCCCCTTGGGGCCTCTTGATGGGCTCTTGGGGGGGCTCTTGGGGGGCTCTCGTGCCATCTGACCCCTTTGGAGGTCGTCTTGGGAGCCTCTCGGGGCAGCCTTGGAGCTCTCTTGGGGCCCTCCTGTGCCGTCTTTGGGGCCTCTTGACATGTCTTGGGGGCCTCTTTGGGCCATCTTGGGGCCCTCTTGGGCCGTCTCGGGGCCGTGTTGGGGGCCTCTTTGGGCCGTCTTTGGGCAATTTCGGAGGCTCCTTGGGCCGTCATGGCCCCCTGAGGGAAGAACATATTTTCCCCCCCCCGTCGGCGGCGAGGCAGAGTTGGCTGCACCAGCGAGAGAGCTGGACGGGGGCACCGAAAAGCGAATGGGCCAGCCTGCAAGAGTGGGAAGAGGGCAGAGCAGGCGGCCGCGGGGGGGGGAGGAGAAGAGAAGGCCACCCAGAGGTGGAAGAGCTCGCACCCGAGTGTGCTGGCGCGACCAGCCCCGCCGGCGGGAGCCGTGGCAGCTGCCGGGCCGCGGCGCCGGGGCACCCACGGGCGCCGGCGTGGCCCAGTGCGGGCAAGGCAAGCAGACGAAGCAGTGACGCCGTCGACGTAGCACACGAGGTGCTGGGTCAACGGGCGTGGGCCGCAGGCCGCCCAGGTGGGTGGCACGTGGCAAGGTACGGCAAGTACGTGTGCGGCTTAGGTTGGGCTGCAGCCAGCAAGATGCTGGGCCCGCGGAGGGGGACAGGCTGCAAGACCAAACCGAGGTGCCCGACCGCGAGGGGAGGCTGCGAGCTGCGGCAGCCTCGCGAGCGCCATGGCGGCGCGTGGAGGGAGGGAGGGAAGGCGAAAGGCGGGGGGGGGGGAAGTGAGGGGAAGAGGAGCGCTCCGCCCGTAGGGTGATCCCCGCAGGCGGGGCGGCAACGCCGGCACAAGTGCCGGCGGGTTGAAAAACGCGAGAATGCTAAGACATAAGAGCACCACCAGACAATGAATGTTTTTGGCCTCTGGAGGCGCTTTTGGGGGCCCCCTTGGGCCCCTCTGGGGCCGTCTTGGGGGCCTTTTGGGCCCTCTTGGAGTTGGGGCCATCTTGGGCCGTCTTGGAGCCCTCTTGGCGGGCACGAAGGCCCACTGGCACATCGGCAACAACGAGGCCGACAAGAGGGCCAAGATAGGGGGCCCAGCTGCACGCCGACTTCGAGGAGGTCGGCGATCTCGCCAGGCGTGTGAGCGCGGGCGACTGTCGCCGCGACGAATCTTCTGCGCCACCACGGCGCGGCGCTGAAAAAGGCCGCAGGCGAGGGGTGGCCCAATCGGTCGGCCTGGCAGCTCAGCAGCTCAGCAGCTCAGCGGCCTGGGGTTCAGCGCATTTTGTTGCAGCGCGCGGTTCGCAGCCCCGATTCCCTGCTGCGGCCTTTCGGTCCGTGTCTGCATCCTGTTGGCGCCGTGCCTTCGCACAGAAGTCTGACGCTTACGGCTTTGCGACGGGCATTTGGCTGCTCCCGCTCTTGCCGCTGTGGGTCCACGTGCCGCTCCTCCTGACGTGCTGGTTCGTCGTGCCCTGCGTTTCCAGAGCCTGCAGCCTTTGCTTAAGCCCTTGGGTGTGGTCGTGACGCCGCCCCGTGTCCACTTTCAGGTCGCCCCAGCACAGGTTGGCCGCGCCAGCGCGCTCAACTTGAAACTCTTTCCGTGGTGAGTACCCCCCTCCCCCGCCTGCTTTCTGTTGCCGCCCGCTTCCTCTTTCCTTCATTTGTTGTCGATTAAGTAGTGCGCCGCGCGTCCCCAGCTACTAGAACGCACGAGCGGATCGCCTCTGCCGCGCTGCGACGAAACAAGTAATGGGTGGAAATTCCCGAAAACGGCAAGGGAAGATCTGGGGGGAACCTCGAATGTATGGTTTGTTGCGTATTTGGGAAGGGAAATGCAGTGTTAGTGATGATGGTGATGATGATGATGATGATGATGATGATGCTGATGCTGATGCTGATGCTGATGCTGATGCTGATGCTGATGATCATGATGAGGACACTGCTGATGATTATGGTGATGGTGATGACGACAATGCTGATGATCATGATGATGCTGATGATGCGGATGATGGTCCAGATCATGTAAGTGTTGATGATGATGCTGATTGTGACGATCACGATGATGACGACGATGCTGATGATGATGATGATGCTGTTGTTGATGATGATGATGCTGCTGATGATGCTGCTGCTGATGATGATGATGACGACGATGGCGATGATGGTGATGATGCTGCTGCTGATGATGATGATCATGCTGATTATGATGCTGATGATGCTGAGGATGGTGATTATGATGATGACGATGCTGCTGCTGATATTGATGATGTTGATGATCATGCTATTGATGATGATGCTGTTGTCGATGATGCTGATGATGCTGATGATGATGATGATGAGTACGATGATGATTATGCTGCTGATTATGCTGATCATGCTGATGATGCTGATGATGATGGTGGTGGTGGTGCTGGTGATGATGATGAGGATGATGATGATGATGACGATGATGATGATGATGATGATGATGATGATGATGATGATGATGATGACGATGCTGATGCTGATGCTGATGATGATGATGATAATGATGATGATGATGGTGGTGGTGGTGATGATGATGACGATGATGCTGCTGATGATGACGATGATGCTGCTGCTGCTGCTGATGATGATGATGATGATGATGCTGCTGATGATGATGATGATGATGGTGGTGGTGGTGGTGGTGGTGGTGCTGGTGATGATGCTGCTGAGGATGATGGTGATGGTGATGGTGATGGTCATTGTGATGGCGGGGAGGAGGAGGAGGAGGAGGAGGAGGATGAGGAGGAGGAGGAGGCGGAGGCGGAGGCGGAGGCGGAGGAGGAGGAGGAGGAGGAGGAGGAGGAGGAGGAGGAGGACACAACAGTCACACGAGGGATCATGCGCATGGTGGGGATGCTGATGTGCATGATGATGGTGGTTATGGTGATCAATCTAATGGTGGTGATGATGGTGATGATGAGGAGGAGGAGGATCAATAGAGGACGGAGGTTGTGGTTGTGGTTCTGTGTGTGTGTTGTGTGTGTGTGTGTGTGTGTGTGCGTGTGTGTGTGTGTGTGTGTGTGTGTGTGTGTGTGTGTGTGTGTGTGTGTGTGTGTGTGTGTGTGTGGGGGGTGGACGGGAAGGAGGCTGGCGAGAAACCCAACAGGTCACGAACGGTTGAACTTGCACGTGCGCTTTTTCAATCTGAGCTCGAGCAAGAAGGAAGAGGGGCATGGGCACTGGATCCCCTCGGCACGAGAGGGTCTTGCGGCCCCTCGTGGGCATTCCCGCGCTCGCGGCAGCTGTACCCCCGCGGTTCGAGCCAGACATCGTGCGTAGAGGAGGATGAGAGCGGGGAGGGAGAAAGTGAGGCGGAAGCTAGCAACAGGTGGAGGAGGAGGAGGTGGAGGAGAAGGAGGAGGAGGAGGAGGAAAAGGGGAGGAGGACGAGGACGAGGAGGAAGAGGAGGAGGATGAGGAGGAGGATGAGGATAAGCTCAGAAACAGTACTTATCGGGCGCGAGCAGTTGGGCGCTGGTAGAAATGGTGGGCCCCTCTCCATCATCTCGGAGATGCCACGATCGGCGTCTGGAGGGAACGCTCCGACTTTGCCCAGCTCTGGCACCGGGGGCGGCCAGAAACCCTTGCGCTTCCCGCTCTCGCCTCCGCGAGCGCTGCCGATACCGAGCGTTTATCCATGCGCGCAACTGCGCACATCGTTGTCCCCCGGGGGCGCGCAGTCCTGGCAGGCCCTGTCATCCACACTAGGCCATGGCATCTCAGCGCCACCAGCCCACCCTCCCAGGTGGGGATAGGCCCAGCGAAGCCGAAAGGAACGGCACATATCCCCACCTAGATGGGTAAGTCGGCCAGTGGGGCCAAAACCACGCCAGTGGAGAAAGGGACTTGTTACACGATGCGCATAAGGGCTCCTGTCGCGTCGAGCTTTCGTCGATATGCTGCGTAGTTTCGCACGGCCGGTAGCGAGGTGCATTGTGGCGGCATGTGCTGGAAACTGTCTTTTGCTTGTCTGCCGAATCAGTTTTGGGCAGAGGAAGTCATCTCACGGCTTCGAGACCTCTGTAGGATTGTGGCCTTAACCATGCGTGCATGGACGTTGCGCTCCAGGGACTCTCCCCGTCCTTTTGCTTATCTTTCTCGTCTTCCTCATCTTCCTCCTGCCGTCCTCCGCCTTCTCCCTGCCTTTTCAAATATTGTGATGCTGGAGGATGCGGCGTGATATTGCCAGTGCCGTGCTGCTTCGTGCCGCGTTGCATCACTGCGCTACGACAGCGTGCCGTTCGGCCTTGCTTCCTATACACGGCTCCGGGGAGTGCGATTGATTCGGACCATCACGTTAGTCATTCCATGCGGGGTTGCTCGCAATCTTGGGGAACACTCGGAGATGCCTGGCTACCTGCGGCAAGTCCCGCCACTGTGTCAGCCCACCACTTTTGGTGGCGACTGTTCGAGGAACGCACATGGAGCCATAACGTGTGACACCTCGTGCCCCGAGGCTTGGGGGAGCCATGACGTGTGACGCAATCTTCCGCTTCATGTCTGGGTGTCTCTCCTCGTGCTCATAGTCGTTTTCTTCCATTCGACTGCCCCTCTCCTCTCTGAGAGGCCTCTTGGGGGGGGGGGCTTCGTGGAGGCTTCTTGGGGTCGTCTTCGGGGTCTCTCGGGGCCTCCTGGGGTCAGCTGGGGCCGTTTTAGTCTCGCGCCTTCGGGGTCCGTCCTGGTGGGCTCCCTTCGGCCCTGCAGGGTCTTCCTCGGGGTCTCCTGGGCCGTCCTGGGGCCGTCCAGTGCCGTCTTGGAAGCCTCGCGGGCCCTCTCGCGGGTCGCTGGGCCGTTGTTGCGCCCTCCCGGGGTCTTCCGTGGCCGTCCTTGGGGCCACCTTGGGGGCCTCCTTGGGGGGCGTCTGGAGCAGACGGACGCAGGAACCCTAATTTTACAAGCGCTCCTGGGCCATTTTGGAGGCATTTTGGGCCATCCTGGCTTGGCGGCTTTTGTTGGAGTTGCTCGGCCGTCTTGGGGTCCCTAGGACTTTTGGAGAGAGCCGGGAGGCCTCAGGCTGCCCATGCAGCCTTGGGAAAGGAGGATGCGTTCGATTGGGCGTGGCCAGGACAGATTTTTTTTTTTTTTTTTTTTTTGTTTCCCCCCCCCCCCCGATATTTCACGAACCCTACCAGCCAGCACTTGGTACTCTGCCGCGCGGACAGGACGAACGAGGGTGTGTTTGGCCAAATGGCCTGGCCAATTGGTCAGGCCGATCAGGGCGCCAAGCTCGCCGTGAAGGTGTACGGTGTGCACGGGCCGACGCTTCTGGCGCTTGAGGATGATTTCGCATGTGTGAGATCCAGCCGGTTTGGCACTGCGTGCAAAGCCCGGCGGTGGGGCTGAAAACCGCTGCAGCTCAACTTCAGAGGAGCGTATCTCCTTATTCAAATTCAGGCGAGCGCGTACTTCGTCACTCCAGATACCGGATTTATCTCATTCGCGCAGTTGATTCACATGTTCTTCTGAGTTTGGCCAGTTGCTGCGTTCAACTTTTACTGTCTTCTTTACTTCACGCCATCCCGCCACCGTGCCTGGGTCGTGGACAAGAGGCCTCTTCGAAACCTATTAAAGATTTCTGGTTGTCTCTCTAGAAGCCTCGCTGGGGCTTGTCATAGTTTTCTTGTGGATCTCTTGCGGACCTCTGGGCGACTTCTTCGGGGCCTCAGGGGAAGGCTTGGGGGCCGCTTGGGGGCCCGATGGCGGTCTCGGGTGCCATCTTGGGGGGAAAGGACTCTACGTGTAAGTTTGTTGGCCTTCCTCGGGCGCTTTTGTGTTCATCGCGGGACGATCTTTGGGGCCTCTTGGACTGTCTTGGGCGCTCCTCTGGTCGAAATGCAAATAATGCTTCAACAATATAAGAGCCACTCGCTTTGCAATGTTTTTGGCGTCTTCGGCCGACTTCCAATACGGCCCAAGAGGCGGCCCAGGAGGTGCCCGAAAGGGCTACAGGACTGGCGGTGCGACGCCATCTTCGGTCATCTTGGAAGTGTGGAATCCCACCCGCGCTTCCTGGGCCGCAGCCCAGGAACAGCGCCCCCAAACGCACAGAAAACCATTGTTTGGGGCCGTTGAGGAACACTCACAATATGCAGCACAGAGGAATCGAAGAGACCCGACAACATTCTACCCAGTGCATCGCGGCAAATCGGCCGATCTTCTGGCCGCTGTTCGAATTCGATTTAGGGGCCCGCTCCCACATGGGAGCGGCCAGTGTCGTAACGGGTGCCCGCTGCGATCATCGTACGCGGCGTTTAAGCGCCGTTGCGCTCGAAAGTAGCCCGCGAGAGTTAGCAGGAAGGGAACGATGAGAGACCCCAGGATCCTCCGGCAACCTCCCGGGGCCTCCGAAAACCTATGGGAACCTTCGAAAACTTTTGAAAACCGTTGACAACATGGACACTTCGGTCGGCCATCGAACATCCTCGACGGCGCCAGCGACGGCGCGACGACGGCGCGACGCTGGCCCGAGGTCTGGCGACCTCGGGCGGCTCGTGGGCAGCCCGCCCACCCTGGAGGCGCTCGCGCCCCGCCGGCCGCGCGAGCCACCCGCTGGGGTCACCCAGACGTCCCTCGCCTGGACGAAGCAAAACCGTCGAGGGCTTTGAGGAACGAGGTTCGAGGATGGAGGTGCCTGGGCGTTTTTTTGTTTGCCGTCCTTCAGGAGGAAAAAAACACAGACACGATTAATCGTCGATTCAAGGCTGCCCCCAGGACAGATGTCCAAGATCTTTGGGGGCCCGCGCATTGACAAATACTCGCGCCGTCGGATGTCCGGTGCTGCATGCAGCTGGTTTCGGCTCCGCCGCTGCCGCATGCAGCCAGCCGCCTCGGGTGCTGGGAGGTGTCGGGAAAGCCAGCTACGGGCAACCAGTTCGTTACTTCCTCCTTTGCTATGCCCCCTCCTCGTCTATCCCGATCGTCACGAACAAATCGGCGCGGTGGGCTTTGCTCCAATCTGAGCCTCGGGACCACCGAAATACAACCTGGGCTGAAAGACTGGGGCCCAGGAATGGGTAGAAAGCCCAAGGGGCCTGCGACACGAACAAATTGTAATGTCGCGGGAGAGTGTCCGGCGGTCATCATCATCATCATCATCATCATCATCATCATCATCATCATCATCATCATCAGCAGCAGCAGCAGCAGCAGCAGCATCATCATCATCATCATCATCATCATCATCATCATCATCATCATCATCATCATCATCATCATCATCATCATCATCATCATCATCATCATCATCATCATCTTCCTCATCATCATCGTCATCATCGTTATCATTCATCATAGGACCATAGGGGAGGGCCCTACTGAAACGTCCAATTAGTTTTCCATAGGATTCCATGTTAATTGGCAAGGGTGCTGGAGCAACTAGGACCAGACTGTAGGCGCTCACTTTGCAGAAGTTCCCGCGTCTTTTCGTTCGTCGCCTTCGCCCGCTCACAGGGGCGTTTCGCCGGGCACCGCGGAGTGTCGGAGTGTCATCTATGGTGTGAAGGATATTTATTCTTTGGCGCATGATGTCGTCTCCTGCCATTTCGCCTTTCCCCCCCCCCTCGTCTTCCTTCTCCGTGCAGGCGCCAAGGCAATCTTCATGGTTCATTGGGATTTGCCAATCAGCTGTTTTCTCCTTGGCAACTGCTTGTGCTGAGCGCGCTTTGCGCCGTGGCGCAGCGTCTATGATCATTCCGGTGATCTATGCGATACGGGGCATCATATCCAGAGCGCGCCGCGCAGTTCTGCCGCCACCTCCCCCTGCCCTTCCCCCCCCCCTCTGCCCCGTCGTCGGTGATCGGGCGTCTGCGTGGGAGGCGTTGGTTGGAAGCGCTTTCGCGGCCAACTTGGCGACCAAGTCGTTCCTTCTTCCCTCGCCTTTTCTGTGCTCGGCGATGTTATTGCATCAGTGTGTTTGTTAATGTGGTGATCGGCATGCGAGGCGACGCTCATGTTTCACATGCGTAATTCTCAAACGTTAGGAGTGGATTTTTTCAAAGTTGCCGGCGTTGTTTGGCCCAAGCCGCCCGAACCGTTCGTCGGGCTTGAGCGCGCGCTCTTCTGTTCCCGCTAACGCGGTCAGGTCGCAAAAGTGGGCGTTCAGGTTTGGTGGCGAGACTGGGGCCAGCGATTGCGACAGCGCTGGCGATTGCGATGGCGCGGCGTGCAAGCAGCGAATTAGACACGCAGAAATCTTTTGCAAATGCTTGAGCCTTCGCGCATCCCCACCAGCCCATCCAGAAACGATGTCGAGGCGAGTTGCTGGGGAAAAGGGGCCAGAGAAGCATATAGTGAAATAGGCGGCAAAAAGGGTGAACTCTGAGATCCAAGGGTGCTTCCGGGGGCTCTCTGGGAGCTCTGGAGGGGGGTGGCGGTTGTCGTGGTGGAGGGGACGAACGGGCAGTGGAAAGGCGGGATGCGGGAAAGGGGCGGGCGGGGGGGTGGATCAGGGGGGGTCGGGGGAGTTTGGGCGGAGGGTGGAGAGCCAGACCAGGTCCGTGGATTCGCCAGGGGCGTATCTGCGGTCGAATTCCCATGGGGGCCTACGTGCGGCTGATGCTACAACAGGCCCTGGATCTGTCAATCATGCCACCGTGCATTGACTAGGCCTGGATTTGGGTCGAATGCTTTCATGGTGCGCTCGAATTTCCGAGGCTGAGGTCAAAACAGCTTCGGCGCAGGTGCGGAGTAACTGATAGGGCCAGGGCGCCTTGAGGACACGTGCCGTTAGTGCGGAACAGTCCTGCCGCGTGCCATTTGAGGTCGGCTCTCGGCCAGCGCCCGGCGGCGCGCCTCGTGCAGCAAGCAGTGGTGGCCGCCGCCATGCCAACCGCAGTTACCACCCCTTCAGTACTTGTACGTGCGCCTGCCACCCGGGCAGCCACGCGCGCCGCCGCCCACGGGGTAACGTTAAGTCGGGTCTGTCCCTCTACAGGGGGAATATTCAAAAATAGGGGAAAAATAGTCTGGGGACTATTTTTTGAGTATTTTTTGACAATTGGGGAGTATTTTTTGATTATTTGTTTTTTTGTTCGTCGAACATCCCCCTGTAGGGGGACACGCCCGACTTAAGGGTAACGTAAGCCTTCGCTTCAGGAGCAAACTCAAACAATATCTAACAAGACGACAGTCCGCCTCAGCAAAGATACGTATCATGCCATTGCCCAGTGTCGAGTATCTACCACTTTGGCGAACGCAGCGCTGCTGATTGTCCTAGGTGCCACACGGGGTGTTAACCAATGTGTATTCGCAACCGCCACCCAACTGCGATTTTCACCCGCAGTTGCAGACGTTTCAACAACAGCGTTCAACCTGGCAATCGCAACAACCATCGACAACAGCATCGGCCATCTCCCACGGTGCACGGCCGCTTGCGCCCGAAACGAAAGAATGACCACCATACAAAATGAAGTGGTGGCCGCAGCCCGCGAAGCGACTGTATCCAACGCTTAATCGATGTGGTGATCTCACAACGCCAGCCAGGGTACACAGATGGGCACTATCTCATCCACGGATATCAAGCACGAAGCGCTTGATTTCTTGGGTCCATGAGAAGAGGTCCCTGGGGTCCATGAGAATATGTCCCGTTTCAATTCCGACCTCCCTTCTCTAGGGACAATCAATCATCATCAGCATCATCATCGTCATCATCATCATCGTCGTCGTCATCATCGTCAACATCGTCGTCGTCTGCGGCGAAGGTGAAGCCTACGGAAAATCACCGCCGCCCCCTGCCTTTTGGAAGAGCTTTCTTTGGCCGAGCGTCGCGGCCAGAGCTCCGCCAAGCCATCGGACTACGTGCTCCCTCAGCTAGTCTGGAGTCTGGAGACCCGTCGGGGAACACGTGAGGGAGAAAGAAGAAGATGAGGAGAGGGATGCAAAAAGGAGGAGAAGGAGGACGAGGAGGAGGAGGAGGAGGAGGAGGCCTTTTGGGAACCTCTTGGGGCACTCTTGTAGCCTCCTGGGAGGTTTTTGGGGGCCTCTTGGAGGCCCCTTGGGAGCTTCTTTGGTCCTCGGAGGCCTTTGGAGGCTCCTCGGGAGGCTCTTTGACTGTCTGAAGGCATTCCTGGCCCGTCTGAGGCCGTCGGAAGTCGTCTTGCGGGCCTCTCTGATCCGACTTGGGGCTCTCTTGGGGCGCTTCAGGGCCGTCGTGGAGACCATCTTGGGCGTGCTGGAGGTGTCCTGGGCCGTTTTTGGGCCATCTCGGGCCTATCTTGGGGGCCCCTTGTGCCGTCACGGGGCTCTGGGGGCCATCTTGGTGGCCGCTGAGGCCGTCTTGGGCCGCAAAGGCGAGAGACCTTCAACGGGCATTCTTGTGGGTCCTCTTAGAGGCATCTTGGGCCGTCTTGGAGGCCTCTTGGGAGCTTATTGGGCAGTCTTGGGTCATCTTGAGGCCATCGTAGGCCGTCTTGGGTGCATCTTGGGCCGTCTTGGAAACATCTTTCGGCCATCTTGGGCTCTCTTGGGGCCTTCTTGGCAGTCTTGGAGGATTATTCGGGCCATTTGGAAGGTCATCATTGGCCATCTTGGGCGTCTTCGGCCCAACCCGACACCGTGCCTGGGTTGTGGGTCATAGGCCTCTAGGATGTTCGTTGGGATGTCGTGGGACTGTCAGCCAATAGAAGGATTGGAGAGTATCGGCCCATTAGCGGAGCGCGCTCCGCTAATGGGAGCGAAGCAGTGGAAAGTTTTTGGTTTGGGGTCAGTTAGCGGAGCGCCCCTCCGCTAATTGGAGAAAAGTAATCCTGATCTTTCGGTTCGAGGCCAATTAGCGGAGCGGCTCTCTGCTAATTGGGGCCAAACAAGCTCCGGACAAATGTGGAAGGCCAAGAAGCGGACCAGCACCCTGCGCATTTTCTCCAAGCAATGCTTGAGAACAGTGGGTTTGGGCCTCAGGAATGCAAGTTGAGGTTTAGAGGATTGAGCAAAGGACCTGGTGACATTCCACTTTATGCCACAGGTGCACGGTGGCGGATATTTAGTATGTTTGTTGTTTTGCTTTCACAGGCCCCTAGAACCTCCAGCGATCTCCCGAGGTCGTCGTCGTCTTCAGAGGAGGAGAAGGGAGGAGGAGGATGAGGACGAGGAGGAGGCGGAGGATGAGGAGGAGGAGTAGAAGGAGGACCAGCCGTAGCAGGAGCTGTTGCTGCTGATTATGATGATGGTGACGGTGATGATGGTGGCGATGATGACGACGACGACGGCGATGATGATGATCATGTTGATTTTGATGTTGATGCTGATGATGATGATGCTGGTGATGATGTTGATGATGCTGGCTGATGATGACGATGTCGATGAGTTTGCTGATGATGACGATGCTGATGCGGCTGAGGATGATGAGGCTGCTGCTGCTGTTGAGGATGCTGATGGTGATGATGACGATGATGATGATTATGATGATGATGATGATGATGATGATGAGTATGATGATGATGCGACTGGCGCTGATGATGGTGATGCTGATGGTGATCGTTGCGGCGGTGGTGGCGACGAGGATGATGGTGATGATGATGCTGATGATGATGGTGAAGATGATGATGGTGGTGGTGGTGGTTATGCTGATGATGATGATGATGATGATGATGATGATGATGTTGCTGATAATGCTGATGGTGATGATGATGACAAGGATGATGATGAGGATGATCATGTTGATGCTGCTGATGATGAGGATGCTGATGAAGAAGCTGATGAAGGAGCTGATGATGATGAGGACAATGATGATGATGATGATGATGATGATGATGATGAGGATGGTGATGATTATGATGATGGCGATGCTGCTGATGCTGTCGAAGCTGATGCTGATGATTATGCTGATGTTGATCATCATGATGCTGCTGATGCTGATGGTTATGATGATGGTGCTGTTGATGATTATGATGAGGATGCTTATTATTATAACTGTTATGATGATACTGCTGAGGATGACGATGCTGATGACGATGATGGTGATGTTACTGATGATGATGATGATGATGATGATGATGATGATGATGATGATGATGACGCCAATGCTGATGCTGATAGTGATGATGAGGATGATGCTGAGGACAATGATTAGGATGAGGATGAGGATGGCGATACTGACGCTGTTGATGATGGTGATGATGATGCTGGCGATGACGCTGCTGCTGTCTATGCTGGCGACGCTGCTGCTGATGATGATGAGGATGATGATGCTGATGACTCTGATGATGCTGATGATGATGATGATGCTGTTGTTGGTGAGGATGCTGATCGTGATGATGGTGCTGGTATTGATACTGATGCTGCTGCTGATGATGATGATGAAACTAATGCGGCTGCTGCTTATGATGATGCTGCTGATGATGGTGATGATGCTTATGATGCTGCTGATGATGCTGATTCTGATGGTGATGATGATGATGGCGATGGTAATGATGCTGATGTTGATGATGTTGATGGCGATTATGATGATGTTTATGTTGCTGATGATGGTGATGATGAGGCCGATGATTTTGCGGATGATGCTGAGTACGCTGATGATGCTGATGACGTTGATGATGATGGTGAGGATGCTGATACTAATGATGACGATGATGATGATGATGATGCTGATGCTGCTGATGATGATGATGATGGCGCTGATCAGGATTATGATGATGATGCTGATGCTGATGATGATGATGCTGCTGCTGATGATGCTGATGCTGATGCTGATGCTGGTGCTGCTGATCATGATGATGACGACGACGATGATGATGATGACGATGCGGATGCCTATGCTGATGATGAGTATGATGACGATGATGAAGCTGATGCCGATGATGATGCTGATGGTTCATGGTGAGGATAATGATGTTGATGATGCTGATGATGCTGAGGATGATGATGGTGACGATGACGATGACGATGACGACGACGATTATGATGATGATGATGATGCGGATGATGATGATGATGATGATGATGATGATGATGATGATGGTGCTGATGATGATGCTGATGACGATGGTGTTCATGATGAAACAAATGATGATGTTGATGATGATGATGCTGATGTTGATGGCGATGCTGATGACGCCGACGATGATGACGAGGATGATGATGCTGATGATGATGGTGAGGATGCTGAGGATGCTAGTGATGCTGCTGCTGATGGTGATGATGATGATGATGATGATGATGATGATGATGATGATGATGAGGATGATGGAGGATGCTGAGGATGATGAGGCGGACAGATCGATGAACGGAGGAGGGGGGGAGGATGAGGAGGAGTGAGGAGGGGGGGATGAGGATGAGGAGAGGGAAGAGGAGGAGGAGGATGAGGAGGAGGGTGAGGTGCGGAGGAGTAGGAGGAGGCGGAGGAGGAGGATGAGGAGGAGGATGATGAGGAGGAGGAGGAAGAGGAGGCGGAGGAGGAGAAGGAGAAAGAGGAGGAGGATGGGGGGGGAGAGGTGGATCAGAAGGAGGAGGAAGAGGAGGAACATGAAAAGGAAAAGGAGGAGGAGGAGGAGAAGGAGGAGGAGGAGGAGGAGGAGAATGAGGCGGAGGAGGAGGAGGAGGAAGAGGAGGAGGGGAAGCGGGGAGGTAGGGTAGGGAGAGGGAAACATGGGTAGGAGGCTTGGGACAAGTAGCATTATGATAATTATACGGAGGCGAATGGAGGAGGGATGAGGAGGATAAGGAGGAGGAGGAGGATGAGGAGATGGATGACGATGATGATGATGATGATGATGATGATGATGATGATGATGATGATGATGCTGATGCTGATGATGATGATGATGATGATGATGATGGTGAGGATGCTGATCCTGATGATGATGCTGATGATGATGCTGATGATGATGATGGTACAGATCATGATTATGATTATGATGATGCTGATGCTGATGATGATGATGCTGATGCTGATGCTGATGCTGGTGCTGATGATCATGATGACGACGATGATGATGACGATGATGATGCCGATGCTGATGACGAGGATGATGACGATGATGACGCTGATGCCGATGATGATGCTGATGTTTCATGATGAGGATGATGATGTTGATGTTGCTGCTGGTGATTATGATGATGATGAGAATGATGATGGTGACGATGACGATGATGACGATGATGATGATGATGAGGATGATGCTGTTGATGGTGATGCTGATGACGATGCTTTTGATGATGACAACGATGATGGTGCTGCTGATGATGATGCTGACGATGATGGCGATGATGATGACGACGATGATGAGGATGATGATGATAATGCTGATGCTGATGATGATGATGCTGATGCTGATGATGATGATGATGATGATGATGATGATGATTATGATTATGATGAGGATGAGGATGCTGAGGATGATGATGATGCTGCTGCTGATGATGATGATGAGGATGCTGATGATGATGATTATGATGATGATGATGATGATGATGATGATGATGATGATGATGATGATGATGATGATAAGGGTGATGGAGAATGCTGAGGATGATGAGGCGGACAGATCGATGAACGGAGGAGGGGTGGAGGATGAGGAGGAGTGAGGAGGGGGGATGAGGATGAGGATAAGAAGGAGATGATGACGATGATGATGATGATGATGATGATGATGATGATGATGATGATGATGATGATGATGATGATGATGATGATGATGAGGAGGAGGAGGAGGAGGAGGAGGAGGAGGAGTTGGATGAGGAGGAGGAGCAGTAGGAGGAGGGATGATGATGATGATGATGATGATGATGATGATGATGATGATGATGATGATGATGATGATGATGATGATGATGATGATGAGGATGAGGATGAGGATGAGGAGGACGAGGATGAGGATGAGGATGAGGGGAGGAGGAGGAGGAGGAGAGGAGGAGGGAGGAGGAGGAGGAGGAGGAGGAGGAGGGGCGAGGGAGAGAAAGAAGGGATGCAGGTTAGAGGAGAGAGGAGACCCTTTCGACCCGGCCTGTATTGGTTGTTCTCCTGGCTTCGTCCTTGTCTTCGGCCTCGGCTTCTGCTAGGGCGGCCCAGTCGGCTCTCGCTTCCGGCAGATACGCGGCCGCATGGACAGTACGGTCAAGATCCGCGGCTTCAAGGTGGGCATGGCAGTGGTGGAGGGCACCATCATGGAGGCGCCAGTGGGATGGGGAGAGGGACTGGCGGAGGGGAAGCGGGGAGGTCGGGTAGGGGGAGGGAAACATGGGTAGGAGCTAGGGGAAAAGTAGCATGATGATAAGTAAACAGAGGAGAATTGAGGTGGGATGAGGAAGATAAGGAAGTTGAGGAGAAGGAGGAGGAGGAGGAGGAGGGGGCGGAGGAGAAAGAGAAGCAGAAGGAGGAAGGAGGGTGGATGAATGGAGGAGGGAGGAGGATGAGGAGGAGAGAGGAGTGGGGAGGAGGATGAGGATGAGAAGGACGAGGAGGGTGAAGAGGAGGCGGAGGAGGAGGAGGTGCAGATGGGAGGTTGAGGAGGAGAAGGAGGAGGACGAGGAGGAGGAGGGAGGGAGGGAGGGAGGGAGGGAGGGAGGAGGGAGGAGGAAGGAGGGAGGAGAGCAGAGGGAGGAGGGAAGATTGAGGGAGGAGAGTGGAGGAGGCGGAGGAGGAGGATTACGTAGGAGGAGGAAGAGGGTGAAGGCCAGTATAAGGAGTTACTCTAAAACTTTTGGCGTGTGAGAGGGTGGAGGTGGGTCCCCCTTGATGCGTGTTGCTGAAGTGGTCATCGTTGCCATCAGTGAAACAATACCTTTGACGAGTTCGGAGAGGTGTAATCACATCCCGTGTATGTGAACGCACAGTGCATGTATGGGCGCGTAGAAGCACAACGCCTGCGATTCACGTCTCCCTGTCTTCCTCACTGTCCGCATTCTGCTCATGCCGCATTCGTGCGCCTTTTTACGGGCAGCATCCCTCCAGGGTCAGGCTTGCTTTCTGAAGCGCGTGCGCATGTGAGCAGGCAGTTCTCGAGCATGGGGGGAAGTTGCCTCGGAGGTGGACGGCGTGGCCCAGTGCGCGGTGGTCCCGCTCTACGAGACGCCAGCGGCCGTGGACAGCCTCCTGTGCTTCCTGAAGGAGCCACACGCCGGCAGTGCCCCACCTGCCTGTTTCGGCGGCGCGCCCAGGGATACCCATCGGTCGTTGAAAGTAGGTATTTGTGGATTCCCAGATTCCAATCTACTTTCAGCGCCTTCCTACTTCAAGAGTCGAGTGGTTTTCCCTCTTCCCTCCTCTTCAGGAGGCGGGGCGGAAACCCAATCTATTTCCAACGCCTTCCTACTTCATGTTTCTACCTACTTCTTCCGACCGATGGGTAGAGGCAGAGGGGGCGGGCCTTCTCGGAGGGAAGGGCTCAGAAGGCCTTCTTGGCCTTCTGGGAAGTGTTCCAAGGGCAGAGGGCCTGTGGGAAGCCCCGCAGCCTTCTGAGAGGGTCTGCCCTCTCTCACTCTCCCCCCTCGGCACGCCGCCAACGGCTGTGCACGAGACGTCCCGCGTGGTCCGCGCGCCATCTTCGGCTGTGATCTCTTGGAGGTCCAGCGGGCTCATCACTCCCAGCACTCGTGGAGCAGACAGATCAGGAGGGAAAGAAACACACAGACACAATTAATCGTCGACTCCCAAGAAAATATGGGAAGATATGGAAAGTGGGGGGGAAGACAAAGACACAGAAAATGTGGGAAACTATGGGGAACATTTTTCCCTACCTAGGCTCTGCCTAGAAGGGTTCTTACTCTCTTTGCTTAAAGGGCCGGGCAGTGCTAACCGCCCCGGGCGGTTCCCCCAGTCCCCGCCCCGCGGTTCCCCCAGTCCCCTGGGAGCTTTAACCTTAGCTTTAGCTTTAGCTTAGCTTTAGCTTTAGCTTTAGCTTTAGCTTAGCTTTAACTTAGCTTTAGCTTAGTGTTAGCTTAGCTTTAGCTTAGCTTTAGCTTAGCTTCAGCTTAGCTTTAGCTTAGCTTTAGCTTAGCTTCAGCTTAGCTTTAGCTTAGTGTTAGCTTAGCCTTAGCTTAGCCTTAGCTTAGCTTTAGCTTAGCTTTAGCTTAGCTTTAGCTTAGCTTTACTGTTACTACTAATGCTGCTTTCCTAGGGGCTCCAACTCCTAGGTAGGGTCGCACTGGGATATTATTTGTGTGTATTTATTTGTGTCTCCTGGGGCCCCTTTTCAACAGAGGCAGACACTTTGAGCACTCGGAGGTGCGCGCGGACTTCCCGGGTCGGCGCCGGAGCCCCCCTCCGCCCGCACCCCCGCGCGCTGGGGGGAGGGTTGGGGTGTGAGGGGGTCCAGTGCCGAACCAAGAAGCCCGCTGAGGACGACACGGGGGTCCCTTAAGAATTGAGAGCCTCGAGGGCAAAGCGAGCGTGCAGAACAGCGCGATGGACCAGGTCACCAAGATGTCCAGATCCAACAGAAGCAATCCTCGCTTTGTCTCGCAGTCCATCGTGTGAGGGAAGCCCGCTCGGAGCTCCGGATGGTTACGCTTATGTGTGACTGTCGTGTTTATCCAGGGAACTTAGGCCCAGGGGGGCGGGCCTGGCCAGGATCAGTGCATGTGCACAGCTCTCGTCGCCTGACCCGTTCCCCCCCCCGGGGTCCCCTCCCAACATACGCCCCCTCTAGCCCCCTAGCTGGGAGCTGGGAAGAGGGCTTGCCGTCCGCACTGTGTGCCTCTCCCTCTGCCCTCGAGGAGGAGGAGGAGGAGGAGGAGGAGGAGGAGGAGGAGGAGGAGGAGGAGGAGGAGCAGGAGGAGGAGGAGGAGGAGGAGGAGGAGGAGGAGGAGGAGGAGGAGGAGGAGGAGGAGGTGTGGTTTACCCCTCGTACTTGGTGTGAGCAGTAACCCTGCTGGCTTTGGGGGCCCTGGGATCCCTCTCGGGCCTTCCCCGCTCCTTCTCTTGTCTCCCCTCCTTCCTTCCGAGGAACGAGGTGAGGTTTGGTCGCTCGATTCGATCGTCTTCGCCACGCAGTATTTTTTTGCTCGCAGCGGCGGGGGACCGGGATGGGGGCAGGATGATGGGGGATGGGAAGGATAGTGTGGGGAATGAGAAGGACGAGGAGGATGCGCAGGAGGAGGAGGAGGCGGAGGACGGACGGACGGCTAATCGAACTTCTAGGCGACGTGTGGAACGAGGAAGGCATACAGAGACGGTGCACCCACGTAATGACAGGAACGTGCGTGCCGGCATCTTACTGATCCATGCACGCCCGCCTTCAGTAGTGGTGGTTGCGGACTGGATGTCGCCGAGAATCCGCGCTGCATGTTCAACCATTCCAGAAATGTGCCCTTTGTGGGGGCTGACAGTACAATACTGCGCGTCCGCGCAGTGCACATACCGTGTGCTGCCAACAATGTTCGATTGCAGGTGCTGTTCAGATCTACTTTGGTGCTATTGGCCGAAGAGTATCGTTTGTCTGAGTAGAAACAACGCGTCGACTGGTGCATCGTGTGTGCCAGATCACTTGCGTTCGACGCATGTGAATGCCATAAAAAAGATTTCACGCAAACCGTTCGCTGGATGCACTTGCGTTGGAATAATCACAAACGCGTGGCTTGGACCTTCGTAGAACAAACCCCAAACATACCGTAAGCAGGCTTGATTGAAGATGCAAGAGCCGACAACGGCTCTAAGGCGGGACGAATGTATGCCACGGAATACAGTTACAGACGGCCCCGCAGGGGGCCAACGTTACCCCGTGCTCCAAGGCAGGTAGATCCTGATCGCGCGCGAAGCGCGCACGATGGTTCCATTTGGGAGGGATCTGAGACTTAAGCTCGTCGTGGACGCCTTCTCGGAGCCATCCGGGACCTCGAAAAGAACCGCAGTGGGCGGCGGACCGCGCGGAGCCTGCTGAAGGGGAAACGAGGGCGCTCGCGATGTAACGATCTATATAAGCGACGTGCAGTCCCGCGCCCCCCAGCCTGGTGGGCGGGCGGATTCTCTGAGAGGAAGACGAGGAGGAAGACGAGGAGGAGGAGGAGGAGGAGGATGAGGACGAAGGGACAGAGTTCTTCGGGCTGCCGTTGTCATTTTCAAGCCATGCGTGCAGCCTTTGGCATGCGGCCGTTTGGCATTTCGCTGCCTTCTTTCGTACATCATATTGCAAGAGTGTGGCATTTCTTGATGCGGCTTCCTTGTTGCATTGGCCAACAGTAACCGCACCAATGGCACATGCCGCCGTGTACCTGTTCAGGTGTGTCTTTTTACACTTCTTTTCTGATCCCGTCCGCCAAGGGGAACGAGGGTCACGACTTCCGCGAGCTCGTGCTGAAGGTTCCACCCGCCTGGTCGCCACTCCTCCATTTCCCTCCTCACCTCCTTATCTCCTCACCTCCTCGATCTGCCGCTGCCGACCTCGCTCACCGTGTCCTTCGGTCGCCACTCGAGTTTTTTGTGTACAGAATAATGCACCATTACGCTTTAACATTTTTGTGTGTGGTGTTTTTGTTCGTGTTGTTGTTCGTGTTGTTGTTGTTGCTGCTGCTGTTGCTCTTCTTGTTGTTGTTGTTGTTGTTGTTGTTGTTGTTGAACATTATTTATTCTAAAGAATAATTATTGTTGGGACCCCTGGTGCGCGGCCCCCTCGCCGCGCCTAGGCCGCAGCCACATTTTCATCATTTTCGTGAGGAAGTCTCAGGCAAAACGTGGGTGTCCGGATCCGGTTGTTTTGTTGTCCCCCGTTTTCCCTTGCAAAAAATAAGGCAAAGTTGACATTTCTTGTTCTAACATAACCAAACTTCAAGAATCCCTTGCAAAAAATAAGGTAAAGTGGACATTCGCGCGCGCAAGACGAAATCCTTCCAAAACCTTAGTGTTCGTAGCGATTTTAACATAAAAACATCAAAAAACCAATGGTTTTTCAAAAAAAAGTGTCAAAATTTCATCCCGCGCGCTCTTGCGGATTTGTAGGAAACCCAACACTTTTTAAACATTTCTGTCAAACGGGCTTTTGCGAGCAACTTTTTCACGTGCTTCGAACTTCTCCAACAACGGTTGCGCACCTGCCAGGGCCATCATCCCTGTCAAATAATACCATGCGGGACACATTCGTTTTTTCTTCGCGCGCGCACGCCGAAATCTTCAAAAACCATTGGGTTTCTTAGGAATTTTAGCACCGCGCAACATAAAATCATACGAATCGCACCGTAGGTCCTCGCTTGTGTGGTACAGAAACGGAAAAACGTCGTATCAGACGCTAGCGCCTCACCAGCCAAAGCAGTCCATATCATTGTAGGACCTACAGACAGTACCGGCGTCGTACTGGTTTACCGTGGTTTCCTATTCTAGCGTCAGGAACACGTTACCACCAAAAACCAGTACAGGTGTCCAGTGTTGGAACAGGGGGAAAAGTCGTATACTAAGCTAGCGTCCAGAAAATGTTACCACAACAAGTCACTGTACCCATGCGCCAGTGTAGTAGCCACGGTCGTCCGCAGGCCACGAAGTGAAGTGTCCGAACGTCATAGGGCGGGAAGCTGGGTGTGGGTGGTGGCGAAGAGTCGTTTGGAAATGTGGTAGAGCTTGAACCGGCCCCCCCACAAAGTGGGGGTATTGGCGGGCGTCGTATGAAAACCCTGGCACTGGTGAGAACGGAGTGTCCCCACGTGCTATTAATTGTTGTTGTTGTTGTTGTTGTTGTTGTTGTTGTTGTTGTTGTTGTTGTTGTTGTTGTTGTTGTTGAATTCTCATTTCTGAAGAATAATTGTAGTTGATCCCCTCCCACCGGTGCATACTGTTTTTCTCAATCAAAGTGTGCCCCTCGACGTTCGCGCCCTGCTTTTTGACAGGGAAAGTCTTCCTGCTCAAACTGGCCCCCTGGCCCCCGGGTTACAACAACAACTGCTCCCGCTTGAGACTTCCTTACAATTTAGCCAGGACCCCCGCTCCCGCCAGAGACTTCCTCGCATTTTATTCAGGAATCGCGCTCTCGCTTGGGACTTCCTTACAATTTATTCAAGAATCGCTCTCCCGGCGCTCTGGAGTCGCGCTCTCGCTGTAGACTTGCTTGCAACTTACTGAAGAATGGCCTTGCTTTGGAATTTCCTGCAATTTGCCCAAGCGCCGCGCTCCCGACACCCAGGCACCCAGGAATCGCGCCCGTTGTGGCCCCATGTGCATGCCCTTCGCGGCCCCGCTGTCGCCATTTGTGTCCCCATCACTGTCCTACGTGGCCCAGTTGCTACCCTCAGTGGCCCCATAGTTGCCTTCTGTGGCCCCGCATTATCTGCACTTCGTGTCCCCCGCTCGTTCGCGCTCTTCGTGGCCCCATACGCATTCCCTTCGTGTCCCCGCTGTCGCCCTTCGTGGCTTACTTCGTGCCCTTCGTGGCCCTGCTGTCGTTCTCTCTCGCTCTCGCTTTCGCTCGTCGCCGCGTCGTCGTCGTCGTCGCCGTCGTCTTCGACGTCGTCGTCGTCGTCGTCGTCGTGGTCGGTCCCCTGTCCGTCCCTCTTGGGGTCGGGTCGACGGTCCGCGGCCGGCCCGCCGATCAGCGCTGCCGCTGGCCAGGCCGACGGTCCGCGGCCGCCCCGCCGCTTGCCGGGGCCCGGTCTGCAGGGAAGAAAGGTATACCCCCAAAAGGGGTTCGATCGAAGACGAAGAGGGCGGGTATCGAAGGTTCGGGAAAAACGCGTTATTGGACACTCGAGCATATAAGGGCGAACGGTCGTAAAATTATTGTTGTTGTTGTTGTTGTTGTTGTTGTTGTTGTTGTTGTTGTTGTTGTTGTTGTTGTTGTTGTTGTTGTTGTTGTTGTTGTTGTTGTCGTCGTCGTCGTCGTCGTCGTCGTTGTTGTTGTCGTTGTTGTTGTTGTTGTTGTTGTTGTTGTTGTTGAACTCTCACTAGTGAAGAATAATTATTGTTGATCCCCCCTCCGGTGCACATTGCATTTTTCAATTAACGTGCTTCTCCCGGCGCTCGCACCCAATTTTTTACAAGGGAGAGTTGGTTGTCATCAAACTGTGTTGTTGGCCCCCGGTTTACAACAACAACGGCTCCCGTCTGATCTTTCCTGCAAAGTTATTGAGAAATCGCAGTCTCGTGCGGGACGTTCTCACATATTTTAGCAGGAATCGCGCTCTCGCGTGGGATTTCCTTAAATGTATTCAGACGCCGCGCCCTCCACACTCAGGAATCGTGTCTCGGTATGTTTTTTTTTGTTTGTTCGAGATTTCTTTGGGAATCGCGCTATTGCACGAGACTTCCTCGCGATTCATGCAGTAATCACGCCTCAGCAACCCGCCTGCTCGACCTGGCCGCTTGGACCCGCTTTACCGACCCGCCCGATAGGGTCCACACGCTAGATCTGCACGTCTGGTTCTGCCACGTGTTTTCTGCTCCAAGCCCCCTCCTGCTATTCTTTCTCGTTCAGCATCCTCCTCCCTCCCCCTTGTCCCTTCCATCCGTCCTCACTTCCCCTGCTTAAAGGGCTGCACGAAATACACGTTGCAGGTAAGGAAGATATACCCTCAAAGGGGTACGATCGAAGACGAAGAGGGCGGGTATCGAGGGTTTGGGACATACGTGCTGAATGGCCCGCGGGCAGATAAGAGCGAACAGTCTTAAGATGATGATGGTTGTTGTTGTTGTTGTTGTAGAACTGTCGCTACTGAAGAACAATTATTGTTGATCAACCCTCCGGTGACCATTTTGTTTTGTCAATTGAAGTGCTTCCCCCAGGGCTCGCACGCTGTTTTTGATCAGGGAAAGTTTCGGGGCTCAAACTGTGTTGTTGGCCCCCGGTTTACAACAACATCGGCTCCCGCCTGGTACTTCCTCAGAGTTTATTCCCAAATGGCGATCTAGCGCGGGACTTCCTCGCAACTTGTATACGAATCGCGCTCTCGCGTGGGACTTCCTCGCAGTTTATTCGGACGATGCGCCCTCGGCTCTCAGGAATCACGCTCTCGCTTTTGGTTTTTCTCACGATTTACTTGGGAATCGCGCTAGCGCACGAGACTTCCTCGCGATTCATGCAGGGCCCACGCTTCAGCAACCCGCTTGCTCGACCTGGTCGCCTGAACCAGCTTTCCAGACCTGCCCGCTATGGGTCTGTCCGCCCGATCTGCCCGTCTGGTTCTACCACTTGTTTTCTGCTCCTTGCCCCCCTCCTGCTACTTTCTCTCCTGCTTAATTCTTCCCCCTCCCCCTTCCACTGGTCTTCTCTTCCCTTGTTTTAGGGGCTGCACTGAATGCACGTGGCAGGTAAGGAAGATATACCCCCAAGGGGGTACGATAGAAGACGACGAGGGCGGGTACCGAGGGTTTGGGATATACGTATTGATTGGCACGCGAGCAGACAGGATCCAACAGTCTTCAAATGATTGTTGTTGTTTTTGTTTTGGTTTTTGGTTTTTGTTTTGTTGTTGTTGCTGTTGCTGTTGCTGTTGCTGTTGCTGTTGCTGTTGCTGTTGCTGGCTGTTGCTGTTGCTGTTGCTGTTGCTGCTGCTGTTGTTGTTGTTGTTGTTGTTGAACTCACTACTGAAGAACAAATATTGTTGATCCCCCCCTCGGGTGCACATTGTTTTTTTCAATTGAAGTGCCCCTCCCGGTGCTCGCACCCTGTTTCTTTTATCAGGGAAAGTCTTCCTCATCAAATTATGCCTCTGGCCCCCAGTTTACAACAACAGCGGCTCCCGCTGGATACTTCCTCGAAATGTACTCCGGTCCCCAGCTCCCGCTTGAGACTGCCTTGCCATTTATTCAAGGATCGCGCTCCCGCCTCAGCCTCATTCCGCCATTTACCCAGGCGCCGCGCTCTTGCCTTTCAGGAATCGCGCGTTCGCTGGGGACGTCCTCAAATCTAGTTAGGGATCGATCTCTCGCTGGAAACTTCCTGGCCAATCACGCAGAAGTCATGACCCTTTGGGTCGTTTCTGAAGGTTCTCGTCGCCACGGCTGGACGCCGCTCGAAGCAGCTGTTCGGTGGACACCCCGAGCCCTCCTCCTCCTCCTCCTCCTCCTCCTCCTCCTCCTCCTCCTCCCTTCCTCCTTTTCCTCCTCGTCTGGCTCCTCCTCCTCCTCTTCCTCCTCCCTTCCTCCTTTTCCTCCTCGTCCGGCTCCTCCTCCTCCTCCTCCTCTTCCTCCTCCTCCTCCTCCTCCTCCTCCTCCTCCCCCTCCTTCCCCCATCCTCCTCCTCTTCTTCCTCCTCCTCCTCTCCCTTCTCCTCCTCCCTCTCCTCCTCCTCCTAACCATCCTCCTCATCCGCCTCCTGCTCCGCCTCCTCCTTCTCCTCCTCCTCCTTTTCCTCCTCCTCCTCCTCCTCCTCCCTCCGCCTCCTCTCATGGCATGCGTTCAAGTTGTTTGTCAGGTTTCGTGCCCTCCCCGCTCCACTAGCGTTGCCAGTGCTATTGGGCCTTCCAG